ATCTGGATGTTTCCGTTGTTCGTGTGTCTCTGGATGCGCCGCTTGGATCGTCGTCTTTACAAATTCCTGGCCCGTCCTGCTCATTTGGTCTGACAGGAGACAACCAAGAGCGACTTTTGGCAACATTGAAAATGGGGACATCGTATCAAGCTAGAGCGGGAAAGTTTGTGAAGCTTGTGACAAGACTGATTATGAACATGACTCAGCGCCCCACGAAGGTGAATACTATTCATCCATGGATCGTGATGGCGCATTCACTGTTCAGCGTATAGGTGCGCTAGGAGTAATAAATTGCAGGAATCTGATTAAATGAAAGGGGACTCATTTGACTAGTTTCTGTGTAGCACAGAGCAAGGAGAAGGGGCAAGTGTAGTGTGGTTAAACGGTACCACGCTAAACTAAGGGGGTGACACGTGAGTTGGCCACTCAGAGTGTTCTCTAAACCTGCAGATGCAGGTCGCTCAGAAGCTGTTTATGAAGGATGTTCCTTCGGCGGATACTTGTGCCCAGATGCTGGACTGTCCCAGGAGAGACAAAAGGGCCGTGTCCTCAATTTGTTTGGTTAATAGTAATGGTTGGGTTATAAATTGCCAAGTTCGGGTATCGCGAAATAAGGACCATTTAGGGGGGGGGGGGGGTGAATGTAACCAGTGTGGTTGTGTTACTAATAAAATGGTGCATATACTCGCACTACAATAGAATGAGTTGTTAAACCTTGTGAATGTTACTGGGTCACGATTGGCTTAGGATAAATGCGTGGTACGTTCGACTACGTCCTTCGTAAACCCCTCAGAATAGGCAGGCACGTGATTCAATTTGCCAAAGTGTCGACTGGAGAAGGCTTTTGAAGAGAGGGAGACCTGTATCGGGCGGCCAATTGTGACGCCAGCACGTTCATGTTACAGGTCCGTTGGCGTACCTGTGTGTTGTTAGCAGGACGTCAGTCCTTGGGCGTACGTGGCGGGTGTTGGGAGTAAGAACGATTCGTGTCACAGTTGACAAGGAGGAGGATTACGCAGCAGAACCAATGAATAAAACGCAGAGTGCTAGCAAAACTTTTATTTAATCATTTATTGATGACCGCCCTGTGTCCTCGATAACGATCGAGGCATAGTGGGCACGAGTCACGTAAGGGGAAACCAGGGGTAGAGGGTGTAAAAGGGCAGAGGGGGTGGGCAGTAAAGGAACGCTCTGCGGATCGTAAAAACAAAAAACTAGCATACATTATGGACGGATGTGACAACCTCCCTTCGCTCCTGGGTCCGTCTCCAATAGACTGCCGAGGGGGTGTACAGCTCAACCTTTGATCTAATTTTATAACTCAATAAGAAAGGGGGGGTGTTTTTGTCTTAAAAATATTTAAATGAACGAATGCCTGAATGAGCCATCGTGTACATTACAAGACAATGCGTATGCTTGTATGTAACATCGTATCGTGAGTCGCCCATTAAAGGGTTTTCAAAAATATAAGTATAGTATAAATATGACAAAATCATTAACTCGCATTATTGCATACTATAATAGTAAAACTGGCTTACCCTTTAGTGAAGAACGGCAATAAATTAACCACCAAATGCATAAAAAGGGGAGCTCGACCTCAACAATTTAAGCTAAAAGCTCAATTGGAAACCTTGTTTTACGATGATAAAACTCGTGAGTGCATATATGCCAACAAAAGGGGGTCGACAATTTTTTGGAAATCTGTTGGATCAACTTTTTACCCCCACATCTGGATGGGGGGGGGGGGTCCTCTTTCGAAAACCCTTTGATTCAGGCCTCATGAAAGGCCGTTATAATTTAGTTGACAAACAGACACGCATAAATGGACACATGGAACGCCAAGCTTTTATAATATATAGCACTTTGTCTATGCTAAATAAAATTTAGAAAGTTAAAAGCAAGACTAGCCATGTCATAACAATTTTACATTTTATCGTTTCGTGAAAAAATTATTTTTGTAGCAACCCCACTAATGGACATGCTTAAGAATTACCTGTGCCCAACTCTCCTCTCCCTCCTTGCCTCCCCCCTTTCTTCCTTCTCTAGCTCGGCCAACTTACCCCTGGGGTTGAGTCCACCAAAACCCTTTATAAGCTGTTGTTGTAGGCAGATCTTTCTCCTAAATCAGCAGTTGTCCTGCTGTATCGGTTCCGCCTGATGACGGTCGCTTGTGTTGCGATCGAAACGTGGTGATTTATTTTATTCTATTTCTACCTACGTGACTGTACCGAAAGTACCAAAGGGTATGCTTAATGGTGTCAATAAAAAATTACTGCGTGGTATTTTTTCATGGCATGACTGCTGATGAGTCTGATGAACGCGAATTCCCTATTCTGAGCTCTAATTACAAGTAACAGTGACACTTGTTAAAGATACCCTTTGAAATTCTGAACATTTTAACTTCTGAGTTTAGAAGGTGAAAATAATGTTCATGATTGTTTTTTTCAAAAAAATGAGTGTGAGTTGAGGCGATGCAAATCAAGTCGTGATGTTACCAAAGTAACGTATTTGCAAAACGACATGAAAGGAGGACACATAAATCAGGGTGTTACTCAGGCATACCCCGGTTAACACCCAGGATGCGTTCCTGTGAGCCATTCACTTCATGGTCGGCAAAGGGGAATTCCTTTCTCCTCTGTGCCCCAGTCAATTCTCAATGCTGTATTGCGTTGTGACTCTAAGGCCAGTTTGTGCTCTGCTTTGTGGCCTCAGGTCATCTCAAGATAGTTACATAAAAATGTTATGCAACCACAGCAACTAATACATTATTTCGTCCTCAACTAATTTGTTCAAGAGTCCAGTATACCCAAGACAACAGCGGGTTGTAGAGGCATGATTGGCGTTCACTGGCCTGATACTGGTAAGACTAGGCCATAAAGAGTGTCTTGTGTAGGCCAATTGGTTTCAAAGACAATGAATATATTATCAGTGTGTTTGCATGTTCATCACAAGTACGTGTGGTTAATGCAGACTTGATTCCTTGCATAAGGTTTATATTTGGTGTTTAAACATTTTAACACCTGTTTTACTGCCAGAAAGGGTAAGACCTCTTATTTTTTCATACTTTGGTCCATGAACTATATATGAACACAACAAATACTGTCAAATACAAAGTCTGGTGGTTTTAGTTCACTTTTAAAACATTTCTTAATCCTCCTAACAATGCATTTTCTTTCTAAAGGCACCATTTTAATCTGAATATTGAAAGAGCAACTCAGTTACATGTGGTACAGTACTATTGATATATTAAATATATTTAACAGTTTAATGTTGATTGCTTTTACATAGAGCATTGCCTGATTGATTTGATTTTTCATTAATATATACCTTCATAACAGTATTTTACGTTGTACTGACCACCGGGTGTGTATTAATGACTGGTATTCTGGCTTTTAATAAAGAAAAGACTTGCTTGGATTAAAGTTATGCTCCTGTGTCTGCGGTTTACCGGTGTGTTCAACCATGGATGTTGAACTTCTTTCGCACAGTGTGTAGCCAATCGCGCTAATCGGAGGTGCGGGGGAAGCACAACAAATGAAACATAAAAAGCAGTTCTAAAGAAATTAACTTTCAATCTATATTTAAAAGTGCATAGCTCCAGTGGCTTCCTAATGTCGTTAGGAAGAGTGTTCCAGACAGTCGCAGAAGCGCATCTTAAAGTGCGCGAATCAGTGACCGTCTTTGTTTGATGGTTATCAGAGAGCAAATGCGAGGATGACCAATGGCTTCCTTATATCGAATGGAAGAGCATTCCAGACAGCCGCAGAAGCGCATCTGAAAGCACGCGATGCAGTGACCGTCTATGTTCGATGGCTCATCCAAAAGCCGCTGTGAGGATGACCGGAGTTTGCGTGATGGTTAATGCTCCTTGTTGAGATCAGCAAATGTTCATCTGTGGCAAGAGATTTTTTTTGTTTAATGAGTGTGACCTTATGTATTCATTCAGCAACCGCCAATGCAGCTCAGCGAGCACTGCACGGACACGATCGGATCTTGCAGTACCCGTCACGACACGTGCCAAATTATTTTGTACATGCTGCGCAGCTTGGTAATGTTTTTGCCCAACGTCGAGCAGTGAGTTGCAATATTCGAGGACTATATGCTACACGACCACCGTGTTGGCTATGTCACGACTCAAGTGGTTAAATGTGTCGCAGAGCCCTGATATGAAAATTGCGGGACCCGACTATATTTTGCACGTGGCGATAAAACGACATTCTGGTCTTGTATGGTGCAGAGGCTCTTTTCGATGACGAGAAAACAGAATCCTGCAGTCTGCGAGCGCCACGCCCGATCCTCCCACAAATGTTTTCGCCTAAGCCTGAATGCGAAAGTAAAACCTCCGATTCTCCTGGATTAAGCAACATTAAATGTTGTGCAAACCACACGTGCACCACTCGCGCATTAATGGCGAGATGCCGCCGTGGTGAGATGTTAACTACCTCGCCTGGCATACAGGAGGTCGTAGGGTTCGATTCCAACCTTGATGCCTGCTGCCGTATATTTGGAGTTTGCATGTTCTCCCTGTGCTCGTGGATTTTTTCTCTAGGTCCAACAGTTTTTTCTCTCTACATTTAAAAACATGTTTAAGAGTATTTGGCTGCGATAAATTTCCACAAAAGCCACTTCATTGAGCTATTATTTTTGGCCAGGTAGCTTCCGAAAAAGAGCTAAATAGTTCAGTGGGCCTTGGTGAAATAAAATGTTCATACTTGATTTGTTCATAGTTTTAGTTTATACATATCATTCGTCTCAGTTTAATTCCAAGCTACATGCTGTTTCACGCAAAATTAATCCTTTATTTTGAGTCCATATTTTTCTCATCTGTACGTCATAGCAGGTAGCACGCACACATTTAAAACTTTCTTTAGGCATAATAGGATGTAGCTTTTCATGTGTACGACTTAAATACACTGCACCATTATACATGACTTCACTGTGTATGTATTCATACACCAATCTTGTGAAATATTAAATCTAAAGCGGCCAGGACAACAAAGTATTATTTGGTGAAAATAGTTTTATTGCCAAATATCAATATTTACATATATAATCAATAAGCACTTTTTTAAGATGTTACATTTACTGCATTTTATATAATTTAATTTGTTAAATTCAAAATTAAAGTTCCTACAGAAAACACTTCCATCGAGATCAAAGCAACAAACTCTTAATGCCTCAAAAGTTAATTAAGGTGGGGGGGGGGATGTACATTTTCTGCAACAGACCTCAAACTCAACGGTGCCACCATGTGGACAAAACTCTCAGCAGCACCTGCCCCTCGTCGCATCGATATGTTGTTGTTGAAGCTCAAGTCACAAATATTTCAGAGCTTTCGATTCCTCGACTTTCAGAATTAAAAAATTACAACGAACCTGAAAGAATGCATCAGCCACATGGGAGGTTGCGATGTACTGCGGGAGATAATGTAACGTGGCTATGCTGGCCTTAAAATAATTCAAATGAACACGACCGCATGGCGTGTCACACGGAGCTTGCAGCAAGCTGTTGTCACTCCCCTCCACAATGCTTCCCACGGTAAAGGCCGCCACAAATTCCCGATGCTTTCAACCGAGCAAAATTGATTTCTCAAATGAGGCAACAAAAAAAACTGCCTCAGAATACAACTGCTTTACAATTCTTAAATGACACTACCACCGAGTGATTTTCTACATTGTGCACCAGAAGAAAAGGATAAAATAGGTAGTCATGTGTCTAGTCACTCTAAGGTGATCTTGGATGTAGCTCTGAAATAAGGAATTCTGCGAGTCTCGAATGCGAAGGGTTGACTGCTTTGGATGGGTATGTCACATGACACGATAGGAAAATTGGGATAAAATTGGGGAAATATTACAAAAATTAAGATATTTTTAAAGTAATCCAGTTATTGTATGTGGGGCTGTTAACTATTTTTTTTATCAATCTTTCAATAATTGTTATAAAACAGGGAACCAAGTAAGATTAAACAATAGATTCTGTGGAGAACACCAGGAGGAAATTTAAAGCATGATATTGCATTATCATTATCTCCTGTAAGCTTATTCCCTTTGCAGCAATTTAGAGTCCATCACCCACCAAGCTAAATAGAGGAATGATGTTACACAGCAAGCTTTCAGGTAGAGACACCAGTCACTTATATGTTGTGGGCAATTCCACCACAACACAGGCAATTGCCTCCTTCTGCAAACACCGTGGGTTGCTTTTCATGAGCACAAAACATCTTGATGTTTTCGTGCAGTACACCTTAATGCCGATATTGCATCAGTAAAGAATAAACCTGCGGATTGAGGCCATTAATGTCTTGGCCTTGATTATTTGATCCCAGCGCGACGTCCACGAAATGTGCTCAGAACGAAAACATTACTTAAAATCACGGCTTAATTTATACCATGGAATCTTGCCAAATCACAAAATATAACTGAACCACAATGCGCAAGAAATTACCAATATTTTAAATATTTTTTTTTTACTTTTTTTTAGTTGCAGGATAGACGAACACAAAAAAAGCTCCATAATGGCAGACTGGACTTTAAGGAAAACAGATAAATTAATGAAAACAAATAAACACACGCTAACCAAAAACCATAAAGTGCTTGTAAAGAATGCTGCCTTTAATTAAAAAAAAAATCTAATAATACACTGGTTCCATTGTACATGTCCCATTAACTATGGTTCCAATGGGCTTGGAAACTTGTCACCCACTGAACCGGTACCACTCGTACAATAGCCACAACGGTTCAATGCCAATTCAGGATCCACATGGTGCTGCCGAAATGTAATGTTAACCTACTTGAAATGTTTACCCAAGAATGCAGTTACACTGCAATCGCCCCTCCCTCCATCTCTCCAGGTATGTTAAAACGGACATAAACAAAAAAGGTGTGCCCCACTTTCAAGTTATATTAACTCATACCTTTGCAAAAATAGGTAGTGTTTTTTTTTATAACCTCTCCTAATTTTGCCCCATGAACAAATAGAGAATTGCTGTAAATATTTCGCCCTCTACATTACATGTGCGTTGGTCACAGGAGCAATTCCAGGACACGGTAAACAGCGGGACCACCTTCTTAAAGTGGGACCACCCATGTTCACACCCTCAAAGTAAAACTCCCTAAGAGAGACCAAGACAAAAGAGCTGATTTTGGCAGTCAGATGTCAACCATGTAACCGCTGCAGAGCATGGTAAACAAAAATAAGCGGTTGTGAGATGCGGTAGCATATCAGCAGCAATGGCTGTGATGAAATCCTTCACTAAAGCTCGAGTGCTTCCACAGCCATCCCGAGGAGCTGCCTCTAGGATGGGGGGCACAAGGCAGGGGGGGGAAGCGGGGGGCCACTATTCATTACAGGGGCACAGACACCTCCACTCCCCTGTGGAATCGCCAAAAGTTGGTAATTTCATAAACACGACAATCAAATGTTATTAAATGCATCACACACAATGCACGTGTTAGCCGCATTTGCGCACAAAACTACCATTTATTTTGCCTTGCCCTCATCACGTATTGCTCAGCTATAGAAAACGGCTATAAACACACCTGTTTCTTTGTAGGAATAAATTAAAGTAATAAAATACAGTAACATTAATTTTTTTTTTCTACCCAGAATTTCACTGAGCATTCAAAATTAGTTTTCCTACCTGCTTTTTTCACACCTTATTCACCTCCGATATGCTTTTCACTTCCGGGGTTTCACAGAACACTAACATTGAAACTGTAAAGCAACTCGGTAGGGAAATGGAGGCCAGGTTAAGGGTTAGAAGTGGAGTTAAGATCAGGGATTGGGGACGGGCTAGCATCCAATTGGCTAGTGTAGTATGTCCCTTAACAGTCTATCCTTCTCTTATTCTAAGTATGGCATTTTCACTTTTGGTGTCAATAAGCTCCTGCCAATCCACCCATCCACCCCATTAGTGCGTCCCCTGACAAAATGGTTGTGCCGCACAACACCGGCGCGGCACCACTTCTCCCGTCACGCCCACCCGGCTACCAGACACGTTCTTGGCGAGCGCCAGTGCCAACGAGACCATTCCCGCGGGACTAACGAGGCTGGGCCTCCCGGCGTCGCCAAACACTCCTCCTCCTCCTCCTCCTCCGCCGCCACCGTCAGCCGTGATGAGTGGGCCTCCGGCTGGCGCCGTGCCCCCCAGGCCATGCGAGAGCTGCGTGTTCAGCTCGTTGTGCACCAGCACAAAGGGGTCTGTGCGGTTGTTGAGTGACACGTTCGCGAGGGGAGTGGGCGAAGGAGGATCTTTTGTGCCTGTGCCTCTCCTGTGTGGTGTGGCACTCAGACCAAGCTGCGGCTGTTGTTGCTGCTGCTGCTGAAGCAGCTGCTCAGGCGGCTGTTGCTGTTGCAGTGGCTGAACTGGTGGCACATGTTGCAACAAATGCTGCCGATATGTCTGATTTTGCTGCTGAAGTTGCTGCTGCTGAAATGGATCCTGTTGCTGCTGCTGCTGCTGAATCGATTGCTGTTGTAGCTGTTCAAGCAAGAACTGCTGCTCTTGCAGCAGCGACGCGCCCGCCGCATCGGCCTTGGGCGAGCATGACGGCGCGATAATGAGCTGCTGCGCGGCGATCGTTGCAAGCTGCGCGGAGCCCAGCAGGGGCTGCTCCACGGTCGCCGTCGCCTGCAGAGTCTGGCTGGAGAGACGCTTCTCCTCGCTCGGAGGCTGTGCGGCCACGAGCTGCTGCACGATTGCAGCGAGCTGGTTCTGCTGCGGCGTGGACGGAGAAGACAGCAGCGGTGGTTGAACCGCTGCAGCAGGCAGCTGCGGCGCGGGCGTGCCGGCTGGAATCGTTGCACCCAGTGGCAGCTCGTTCCCTGTGTGGCAGCGATGGACAGAGCGTAAGGATTAAGAAAGGGACCCGCTGCCTTTAACTTAAGCCGTCCAGATTGCCCAGATTGGGGGAGTCTGGGATTGTTGAGAAGTCTTGGGAAGTTCCGATGGATTCACTTGTGCACTTTTGAGATGGTGCTGTGTTGATGCGAAGTGTCACATTCATGAAGTCACTGGTGTTGTGATGGGAGTTGTGAAGGTGCAAGGTTGTTTTCAGGTCAGCCTTGATATCGTGTCCATGTTGCGGTCATATCGATTTTGTGTCATCATTTTGCTGGCTGTGTTGGTATTGTGCCAATATTGTATTCTCACGTTGATGTTGTGTTAATGTTTTATTCTGTCGCTTTGAGTTAATGCGGTAACATTTGTGCGGGTTAGAGGTGTGGCACAGCAGTTAGCATGCTGGAATCGGAACCTGGCGACCTGTGCGATTCCCGGCCACAACTAATATCAGGAGTAATATCTTAACGGATGCGGATCACCCACCTACCACCTTCACCAACCTGCACTACCAGCGTCGTGAAGTATATGATCAAACAACCCCCAAGAAGAACAAAATGCGTAGTGACTTTCATTGAGCAGTGAATTGACAAAAGGCAGCAAATGAAATATAATGCATTTAAATTGTTGTGTTAGGGGTACTAGTCTCAGTTCTTGCTTTAAATAACTCTTAAAACTCGTGGCCTTCAAAACCCACACTGCACCTGTGGAGGTGCAGAGCAGGAGTGAGTCGCTATGAGAGTTTCCCCCCAAAAACCTCTACATCCTATCAGGCCAGACAGAAAATTGTGAATGGTATTCATGCTAACAAGAACGTCCAGAGGATGGTGACACACCGATATTCAAAATTAAATGTTTTAACGTCTTTGTGTTCTTGCGTTGGTGTGCCAGTATTGTCTTGACACAGTGTTCATGTTGCTTTGCAGTCATGATGAATGAGCACAAGTAATGTATTTCTGTCGTGCCGTGCCGTGTTGCATAGGCATCAAACCGACTTGGTGTCAGAGTCCTGCATAGGTGTTGTGGGGCAACTGTCATCAGAGGAGCCGCATGGTGTGTGCGCGATTCATTTGCGGGTGTGGTCACCATCACCCCAGTCGCTCGGTTTCTGCGATGGGGGTACTCCCGGCTCCTCGGCGAGCTGCTCCGTACCGCCGGCTCCGGGCTGTGGCGGCTGGGGCGCCGCGGGGGCGTCACGACACGCGCAGTGACACTGGCACGACTCCTCCTGCTTGATGATGATAACGGGCACCCTCAGCCCCATCACCTGCGCCGTGTTACCTGCGCGAACCAACGGGACGCAGTCACCAACACACACCGCGCACGAGCAAGGCACAGGGAGTCAAAGGAAAGCCATCGCATATTCTAAGAGCGGTAAAAAAAAAACAAGTCAGAAGTCCATGAACTTCGATTCTGCAGCTCTTCTCTCATCACATGCACCATCCTCACAAGTCTTTCTACCACATACCCTCCTCACTCTCCCTCTACTCCAGTATTCTACACTGCAAGGGCCCGTAGGCCACTGGCGGCCCCTGGTGGCCTTTAGTGCAGCCCCTGACGTGTGTCCCCCGACAATACACAAATGTGAAAACATCCCATCATTCTGTCAAACCCAAAGGTTTCAAATGTGTGGCGGCCCTCACACTGATGTTTTACGGGGAAAAGTGACCCCCCCCCCTCTGAAAATGAGTGAAGAACACTGCTCCACTCCTTCCCTGCACCCCCATCGTCCTCATCATCTATGGGTCGTTGCGAGTCTATAGATCGCTCATCTCCAAAGTCCTTCTGCTTACAACTTCTGAAGTCTCTTCACAACACAAGCTCAAACCACCTAAGTCTCTTTTCCCTCGCCTTCATGAGAAAACTAGTAATCCCTGTTCAGACTCATTTCCCCACCTCAGCAATCTCATCTGTCCTTTCAAGCACTGTGCCCACATCTCCGGACCATCAAAACATTACCGCTTGTATCAAAGTTCTGTATTTTCTATTTCAGTTTTTTTTATGGACTATTTCTATCATGGACAATTCCTGTAAATAATGATAATCTTAATTTAACGATGCAACCCAAAATAAATGGCTATTTTACTGTCAACAGATACAGAGTTTGTGTCCTGAGCTGCGAGCTGTTACACAGACACACACACACTTGTAGATTCAGTGACTTTCAAGAGCACAACCATAACTATAACTTTTAATACGTAAAACAATTCACCTTTCAGGTTAAAGCTATGATGCCATTCCGTGGCAATGTGTGACATTATCGTGTGACATAACCTCATGGTGAGGCTTAAAAGGCTACGACATCACTAGTTATATACTACTTGCGAGTACAGTTACATATTTGAAAGGGTTGCGTCTTCCTCTGGAACGAGGAATGTACCCTCACCTCCGAGTTGTGCGGGGCTCCCAACGGCCGTGGTGAGGTACACTTTCTCCACCGTCACCTTGTCCTTCCCGGCAACCTGGAGGGGGGAGATGGCCAAGCAGGACTTGTGATACTGTGTGTACGGCTGTACATCATCTGCATCGTTCTATGTTGAACTGATATCACAGCCACCTGAACTGGAGCGATAGTTACCCACGAGCCCGGCGGCGCGGTCATGGCGGCGGCGCCGATGCCGCTCGTTTCCAGGATCCAGCGCAGCTCTTCCTCGGGCAGCCCGCCGGGGTTGATGCTCTCGGCGGCGGCGGCGGCGGCGGCAGCATCTTTGTCACCCGTGGGGGCCGGCCGGGTCTCGCCCACCTCCATCGACGCCTCGTCCATGACGACGCCCGCGGAAGCGGGTGCACTCTCCGTGGTGGCCCTCGGCTGCGCCGCTAGGCTCAGAGCCTCCGAGAGATCCAGCACAATCGTCGACGGAGGAGCGGCATGGCCTACGCCATCGCCGCTGGCGCTGCCGCCGTCCCCCGACGATGCTGGTACGGTCGCTCCGTCAGGCACACCTGCGCAATCGCTTCCCTGCTCAACGATGGTGGCGACGACGCCATCAATGGCACAGCTGCCCTCCATCCCCTCCACCTCCATGACGCCAGAATCGCTCTGCACCACCCACTTGTATGGGACGTCAATGCCCTCGTCGTTGTTGGCGCTGGTGTCACCGGCACCTCCGGTACTGCCGCCGTCCGTTTGCCGCACTACCACGAGCTGCTGCAGGGAGCTGGCACTCGGTGGCGGTGGCGGTTGAATGACTCTGAGCACAGGCAGCGGGAAGCCGGCGTCTGTTGGGATGTCCGCACTTGCCGGGTCTGGAGTGGGCGGGTGGGAAGTGGCAGAGATGGGCACAACGTCACCGGTTAACGTGTGTGTAGTGGTGATGGCATTTTGCTGCATTGTGGGAAGCAGAGGGCAGTGCAAAAAAAACCCGTTACACTGTACTCCTACACTTTCACATCTTTTCTCCCCGCATTCACTAACCCGCACTGACCAGCATGGTGAAGTCGTCAAATAATCCCCCATGAACGACGTGGTTCAGGGAGGCCTTCATCCAGCAGTGTAATGACATTATTACATGTACATGTAATACCTGTACAAGACACCGCTACAGATATGGGTCTGAAGATAGCCATACCAGGGCCACGTTTACTTATCCAGGATGATGTAATGTAATCATCAAAACAGAAACGGCATCCCAATGCTCAAAGAGAGAGCTGTTGGGTAGTGTTGCTCGTCTGTTAAGTGGCCCACTGTCTATTAGGGCTTATACTTATCCATGCATAGAAGCCAGCAACCCATTTGCTATACTGCTACCTTTAGCTGTATGCATGTTGAACTTCTTTCGCACTGTATGTAGCCGAACGTGCTAATCGGAGCGGTGGTTCACTCAACATAAGTCTGCATAAGTGTTCTAATCGTGGAAAGTTTACCATCTATAATCCACAACAATATATCTTAATCAGCTCAATCCTCCCATAAAACGTACATGTGGAAACCCCAACTTTGAAACCGTGCAGCATCGAGGCCATTATGTTCACCTCCTCTCCTTATCATCTTTCCTAATGCATGAGTCCCATTTTCTATTCCATTTCCATTCCTTTCATATTATTTCTCATTCTTTTTCTTCTCCTTCAACTTTCCCGTTCTTTTTTTTTAATGCATCATATCCCTGACTCTACTGCCATTCTCGTTGCGCGCCATGGGTAAAGATTTGCCAGTAATGCACAAAAAAACTATACAAATTTTGAAATTCACTTTAAAAAAATTTCGGGAAACTAACGACACGATGACCGTCATAAATTTTGATTTAAAGCTTTCGTGACTGCAGTAATTCATATTCTTAGTTTTTTCGGTAAAGTCACGTTGAAGAGAAACAACAAAATAATAAAATATATATAAAACAATAAAAAAAATTCTCACGACGTTTCGACCATAACTCAAACACCTGAAGACGACCGTTTGAGTTATGGTCGAAACGTCGTGAGAATTTTTTATTGTTTTATATATATTTTATTATTTTGTTGTTTCTCTTCAACGTGACTTTACCAAAAAAACTAAGAAGATGACCGTCATGTCGCGCGTTGTTAAGAACGATATTCGGGCAACCTGAGAGCCCAAATGCCGACCGACGCAAATGCACTTTACCGTGGTCCCTGTCACCCGGGGAGCCAGTGTCTTCGGTTTGGAACATGGAGTCGAAGATGCTCTCCACAGTCACCGTCGTCAGGTCCGGTTCCACCGCCTGGTCCACGAAGCGGCGTCAAAATACGCCAACACAACACAAGCGGAGTGCTCATAAAAAGGCGCGTAAGCGCACACAGCGAGGGGCACGCGACCATCCAAAGTTAAACCAGGTTCTTTCGAGACTGTTTAAACAGTCTTGTTTGAATTGTCCATCTTGAATATACCCATCCCCGTTTGCCCCATACATTTTAGGCCATTCAACGATACCTTTTCATAACATCAAACTGTCGACAGTTATACACACGATTCCAAATGTGCATCTAAAGCATACGTGACTTTACCGAAAGAACCAAAGAGTATGGATTCCTGCAGTCACGAAAGCTTCACATTAAGAAAGAAACGATCTTATTTCATCATTTGTTCCTAATTGCTATTACCGGCCGCAAGACCCAAGGTTCAGAGGTAAGGTGGCATAATGTTCTCTGTGTGTGGAGTGGGTACCAGGCACTTCTGCAGGGTCTCCTCACTGATGTCGGAGGCTGGGGTGATTGGGTCGAAGTCGGACAGGTAGAATGCGTTCTGGCTGTCCTGTCAGGGGCACAAAGCACACCAGTTGTGATCACAATTCAAAATCCATGAGACAACTGTACGTCAGCCTTTGACAAAATCACGCGACATGTGCCCAATCTCGAAAGCAGGGCTGAGCCTGGATAGTGCTTGGATGGGTGGCCACCACATACAGAGTGATTTTCATAGGCTGCTGTGGGGCTAATTGCCGAGATGCAGAGGGCAGTGCAAAAACATACATTGTACTGCATATCTATGCTCTATCAATGATACCCCCTCTATCCTTACGAACTCAAACTGACCAGCATGATGAAGTATGGTCAAATAACCCACATGCCCCGCATGGTGTGGGAAGACCCTCATCCAGCAGTGGATTGACAAAAGTTTAAAAGTTTTTTCATATGAACAATTTAAATCCATGCCACAAAGCCTGGACTTGGCAAGTAAGGACAATCGCTGTTTGTTTTCTGGGTTGTGCCTTCCTGTAAGCCATTAAAGAGGTGGAATTTCCACTTTTTTTCTCTATACTACTTCCCCAATAATTTAAATTCTTGCTCAAGGACACGGCCCTGTTTAATGTACAGTTGATGACATTCTGCGCTGCAGCTCTACACAACACCTTCACGTTTGCTCCCGCGTAATCTCCCTGCTGGGATGGAATGGCCTTTCTGATCCTCCTACACAAAACGAGCCCGGGTACTGTAGAAACCTGGATCATAACGTTTCTGCATATAATATCCCTGCTGTATATAATTATGGCCTTATCCCATTATACATATGCATCACATATATAATTTATTTGTTGATGCTGTGTTTGCAGAGGTGCACAAGAACAAAAGAACTCAACATATTCGTCAATAACACTCGCCTTAAAAGGGAGAATAATGCTCGTATACACGAGCAAGTCTAGAATTGCTGCTATGTAGGGAGTGATACATTCACAGACTCTTCTACACAGGCGTTAAATATTGTGAATGCAATGGCTCCATATCTCACTCGATGACGAGAGAGGTATAAAGAGTATTGAGACTGACAGGAGACATGCAGAGGCTTTCATATGTTGAAAATAAATAATATTATTTTTCTTATTGTTTTTGTTGGGTATCTATAAATGGATCACCCTGTATTTCCTTCCCACTCAACAATGACCTTGGGATTTTTATTGATTAAAATATTCCAAGTAGGAACTCCCACAGGATGAAACCCCTTGCTTAAAAAGGTGTTCACAATGACACATACATATGTCCAACCAGCCCTCATCTACCCACTATTGCACAGCATCCCAAGAAACAAATTCACTCGGATGTATGTATGTTGAACTTCTTTCGTACGTAGCCATCCGTACTAATCGGAGGTGCGGGGGAAGGCCAACAGACTAAACAAAAAAAGCAGTTCTAAAGAAATTATATTTTTAGGGTCTTTCGGTAAAGTCACGTAGACAAGTTCAAAGAAAATAAAAAACTACGACGTTTCGATCGCAACAGAAGCGGTCGTCATCAGGAAAAGGAAGTTAGCCTCTAAAGGCAAACTGTTTATGAAGATTTAAAGATGGGCGTAGTCCAAGTGTGTCAGCAGCATGGGCGGGGCAGCTGATGTTAATGTACGGGAAAACGACAACACCGGCAGTGGGTCTCCACCAATCAAAGGGCCGCCAGGCAAACATTGAACCTCGCTCCACACACCCACACTGCTGACGGTGGAGGTTGCTGCTAGAGGTGATGGTAGTTGTGGGTAATGATGGTGCTGGTGGTGGGCTTCGACCAATAAAGGGCTACTGCTAGTGGTGCTGGTAGTAGTGGGCAGTGATGGTCCTGGTGAACCTATCTTCGTAACTTTACCGAAAGACCCAAAGAATATTAATTGCTGCAGTCACAAAAGCTTTAAGTCTAAAGAAAATAGTTTTTAAGCTATATTTGAAAGTGCATAGCTCCAATGGCTTCCTAATATCGGATGGAAGAGCATTCCAGATGGCCACAGAAGCGCATCTGAAAGCGCGTGAAGCAGTGACCGTCTTTGTTTGATGGCCAGCCAAAGCCGCTGTGAGGAAGACCGGAGCTTGCGTGGATTATGCTCCTTGACGAGATCAGCAAGGTTTGTGGTTAATTTTTGGCAAGCACTTTATATGTAATGAGTGCGATCTTATAATGTATACGTTCAGCAACTGCCAATGCAGCTCAGCGAGCAATGAACGGACAATGGTCAGATATTGCGGTACCCGTCACGATACATGACTCGTATAAGAGCAGCTCGAATTCATCTGATGGGACTTGGCAATGAATGGATGACTTATTGTTGTTGGTGGCTGGAGGGGGGCCGATGTGCAGAGTACTGAACTGCAGAAATATATTTGTGTAAACGTTATTATGAAACTACAAATAATTTACAGCTGTTTGGTCAAGCCACTGCTGAAGGCGTACCCAAGCGATGCTGACCACACTTCACCATGCTTGGCAGTGGGAGATGACAAAGCCGGGCCGCATACACGTGGAAAAATTATTAGGAGCACAAACATGGCTGTTGTTACACTGCCCTGAGCTACCCACAACGTAGCACCGCGCCAGCTTACAACGTATTTTATGTGCGGTGGATTCCCATTCCGAGACCTTACCAAGCTCCAACTTGCTTAGCTTCCTAGATTCGACGAGATCAGTCGCATTCTGGGCAATTTGGTCATATTCTTACATATGGGTCTGTGCATACGTGTACATACATATAGGGTGGGGAGCAGTAGTGTAGCGGTTAGCGCACTGCACCACAAACCCGCCGACCAAGTTCAATTCCCGTTCATGGCCAAAACCGGTGACGATTATCTGAATCGATCCTGAGCCTCCACCAGGTCGGCTCAGCCTTAAATGAATGCCTGGTGCATTGTGTAAACATCGCCAAAAAGGTGACAAATTCGGTCAGACATGGTGCTGGCGACCCGCCCCCTCATGTGCTGTACCAAACTGTATAGGTGTCATATTCATGAAGTTACTGCTTCAGAATACTTATACATAAAGTGCTTGGGCTGTTTACAGGACAGCAGTGACTCTAAGTAGTCTAGACAGGGGTGACTGTCCAAGGTAGGCAGATGGGGAGACAGGCAGTCCACAGACAATCAAATTAAGCCCCCACTTCCTGCATGGAGGTGAAGGTGCTCACCTCTGACTTGAGGCTGGCCCCAGATGGGTGTCCCTTCATGTGGCTCTTGAGGCTGTGCTGACTGGAGAAGGCCCTCTCGCATCCGCCGCTGGGGCATGGGAACGGCCGCTCTCCTGTCATCAGAATCGTCACTTATTATTTATATACCACACCTCCCATGTAGTACAACTTGAGGCGCCCAGCACAAAAGGGTATTTGTGATCATGACTCGGTAAGGAAGTGATTGCAGACCAAATACAATGTTTCCAAACCAACAATATTACAATTCAGTACGAATAATTAACAAACGAGAATAAACATTGAAGATGAAAATATCCTCCTCTACTTAATTTTTGTCTCCTCCACAAGCACATGTGTGCTTCCCAGGGGTGGAGCCAGGATTTTTACTTTGGGGGAGGGGGGGGGCGCTGACTTCAATATTCTGAGATATCCAGTGTTGATGTTTTCCAATGGGCGCCACAAATGTATGAAACAAATTTTATTGGATTTGAACGCGGAGTTTATTAATAGGTCGGAGCCGCTGATGTGGCTAATAAGTTCGATAAGTTCGAAAGGCTGCGCTCAAGCAGCCTGCAGGGCAGCACACAAGGTGGCAGCCTGCAGGGCAGCACACAAGGTGGCAGCCTGCAGGGCAGCACAAGGTGGCAGCCTGCAGGGCAGCACAAGGTGGCAGCCTACAGGGCAGCACACGAGGTGGCAGCCTGCAGGGCAGCACAAGGTGGCAGCCTGCAGGGCAGCACAAGGTGGCAGCCAGAATTTTGCAGCAGCCGGATATCCGGTTATCCCGATTACCGACTTTCCCAAAATTTCAGGGGGGGCTAAGCCCCCCCCCAGCCCCCCCTGCAGCTCCGCCCCTGGTGCTTCCCACAGCAACAACAGTCAGCGACGACAAGACTAACAGCTGTCATTCCCAATTAAATAATAGTGTGACCCACAGCTCCCACCTCGTAGAGGCATATCCTAGGCTGTGCCCCCTGGGCAGTCCGCCACAAGTTTTAAGCTTTGTAAATAATAAAATATGACTAAAGCAACAAACCACGTCCTCGAAGGCACCCTAGTGACATCAATTGTAATTGCAATTAGAGCAGTATTGTCAGCTGAAATTGCAATTACATTCTGATTCCAATTCATTACGAATTAAGCAATTACATGTGTAATTAACCCCAGGTCTGAGTGGCATTATTGTGATATCAATGATGTGCGTTTTATTGTATACAATATCAATGCAGTAAATGGAGCACGTCAGAAACCAAAACCAAACGAAAGACGTTAAAGCATTCTTACGATTAACTGACAATTTGTGATGTAAATGGACAGAGATGAACGCTCCATTATGATTATTAAGATTCACTCCTAATTTCTGATGCTCAAAACCAGACTAACACAATTCGTATGATTATTATGTCCCACTTTTAATTCCTGAGATTAAGAGCCAGACAAAGGGACCTTTCATATGATTACGGTGCACTGTAAACTCTTGCAGTCGGTCTACGTTGTGTGTGGCAGAGGGTAGTGCAGCAAAATCCAATGTTTCACAGTACTATGCTCCCTCATCTATGCTCAAATAACCCCAAAGACTTGCATGAAGTGTGGACGCCCTCATCCAGCACAGGATTAGCAAAAAAGGTTATACGTGTACATTGTAAACGCCTAAGGCTCAGAGCCAGCCTAAGGCATTCTTATAATAATTATGGTTCAGTGCTAATTCCAGAAAACCTCCCACATTAATACTTGTTCTATTATTCACTCCAATAAAAATCCTTCCTCTTGATGAATACTGCAAGTTGGCAGTGATGGGAAAGAAGAAGACTTTATGACTATAGTGTGTTCCGAACCAATAGTTTAGGTACTCAGGGGTGACTCTCCAGGCTGGTCAGAACTTAGTTGCTTTACCGCTTGTCGTTCGGGTGCGGGTCGGATAATGTTCATCACATCACCTTCACGTCATTACCCGACCCACACACTAACGGCAAGCCAAACAAACGACTTGAGTCCCGACTCAACTTGACGGGTACCTGCCTGCTGCACGACTCAAGTGTGTATGTGTGTACAAATACTGCACAAGCAAGTGCGAGTGGCAGGCCATACCCGTGTGCGTGCGCACGTGCGTGCGCAGGTGGTGGCTGACGGAGAATGCCTTCCCGCAGCCGCTGTGTTTGCACCTGAAGAGGAAGAAAGATGATGGGGGGGAAGGCCAGGTCAGGGGGTCAACGTCTCATGACCAGAGAAATATGCCCAGAAAATCAAATTATTGGGTCTTTCGGTACAGTCACGTAGATAGGTTCAAAGAAAATATATTTATATTCTTAGCTCTTTCGGTAAAGTCACGTTTAAGGGAAACAATAAAATAGTAAAATATATATGACTTTGCCGAAAGAGCTAAGAATATGAATTACTGCAGTCACGAAAGCTTTAAATCAAAAAATATATTTAGTTATTTTCTTTGAACCTATCTACATGACTTTACCGAAACTTTACCGAAAAACGAACATGAACTCCTGCAGTCATGAAAGCTTTAAGTCAAGATTTATGCCCAGAAAAGGCACCACAGAGTTACATGTTTTGGTCACCTGCACCACCACCACCACAACTACTACCAGACGGCGCTTCCTCTGAACCAATGGAACCATTAAAACGTATATTGCACATAGCTCTGCTCATAACAGCAGCAAGACTCTCAGTCAGAAACTGTCAGCATCATTATCATCATCCCAGTGTGATGAGTAACTTTGTCAGGCTGCATGTATTGGTGCAGGGAAGTCAGCAGCGGTTGGCTTACCCACAAAATGGCACACGACTTCGCATGCAGATGAGGACTGGCCAATGCCAATTTAAACATGGCAGGGAGCTCAACTCTTTCGTTGTTTGAATTGGGTCAGTTTCAATTTGACAAATGCGAACAGATCAATCACTTTTAAGTGATGAATTGTACGATTGTTATATGTCTAATAACTACGGCACAGCTGATACAGCAGCAACACCCTTGGAAAGGAAACGTCTTCATTCCTGTGCAGGTGGTATAAAATGAGGACCAATTTGGTGAAGGCAAGTCAACGGCAGTCGCCCAACAAACTGGAACACGACCCTGAACGTAGGGCGAGCGCCGGCCAATACTCATTCGAATGCGTCAGTGAACGCGACTCTTCCGCTGCTCAGTTTCAGCAGCACACGCGCACTCACTGGAATGGGCGCTCTCCCGTGTGGGTGCGCACGTGCTTGCGCAGGTCGCTCAGTGTTGTGAAGAACTTGGTGCAGCCCTCCGAGTCGCAGTTGAACGTGTTGCCCGTGTGGATCCTCTGGTGCGCCTTTAGCCTGCGGGGAGGGCACATGGAGGGGAGCCCCAATAGGTTCACTTCCCCACGAGTTCCCCAGTTTACACGACGTAATGTGCGAATACACTTGATTCGAAGCTTTCGTGACTGCAGGAATCCACACTCTTTGGTTATTTCGCATGCCACTGTTGGCAAAAGGGCCTCCACTAGAGAGTCAGCAGTTTCTTCTTGCTGTGGTTGTCCCACCTGATGACGATTGCTTGTGTTGTGATCGAAACGTCGTCATCTATCATTTTTCTACCTACGTGACTTTACCGGTATGTAGTGTCTAATTGCAACCAGAGCTGCAAAGATTCATCAATTAGTAAGATTCATCAACTAAGTCTGAAATGGACAAAATATAGATATTCGTATGTTGAGTCTTTGTTTTGTGGTCATTCACTCAGGTACATTTTAAGTTGGCAGCTACACCCCACACCCTGCCTGCTGACAGTGTTTTACTCCCTACACACCACACTCAGCAGAATGCAGCTGACGACACGGATGATGTCATCAAATCCTATCTAGCTGAACACGTGGGAACAGAGGCGAGACGTTTCCCACAACTATTTTTGTATCATCCAATTAGTCGAGGAATCTAAACAATTGGTATGGTGAGCAAGTTAATTCATAGCCCAGCTCTGAACGAAACTTCATCTCAACACGCTGTGCATAAATATTGCGCATACGTATTTTATAGAGAGGCAGTCAGTCATAGGCAAATAGGAAAAAATAAAGATCTTCAACTTAGACTTGAACAAGAACCCAGGGTCTAAAGCAATGACAGTTGGGCAAAGGAGTTCCATCCTACGGGGGACAGAAGAGGCAAATGAATGACCTCCCACGGTTTGAAAGTTGACGTGAGAGCGAGCTTCTCCAGAAACCCTTCTCTGCTAGACTGGAGTTGTGAGGATCTTAGAAAGTGGAATCTTGCAAATGAAAGGAAAGCTCCAGTGCTAGAGCCGAGTGTCATTAGTCAAGTCTTATTCTAGTCAACAAAAAAACCCGTGGAATTTTTGTCAAGTCTTATTCTGGATTGACAAAGGGTGGTAAACTATTATTTTCCGAATTCTGTTACAGGCTTCACACATTTGTGGAAAAAAAAATTACTCATGGAATCACATGACATCCCAATGAAATGCAGCCCTCATTTCAGCCCATCTTTTTTCCAATCGTGCACTCGCAAGGGAGAGCGAGAGGATTAGCGACGAGCTGCTGTGGATGCTGTCCATGCACAGCAGGCATTGTGCAGTTTTGTGAGCAGCAATAATAGCAGCAAGTAAAATTACATCAGCGTTCGTGTAGGCGTTTGTCATTTTCCAGCCAGCCTGAGAGTCAGAACTCAGGTTTTATTGGATCTCGTTTGAAAAACCACACGTATGAAAACCGATGAGTGAATTACATCATCTTGACTTAAAGCATTCGTGACTGCAGGAATTACATCATGTTTAACAACCAGGATCTAGCTCCTTTCATAGTGGCGATTAACTCCCAATTGAAGGGTTAGGAGTGCCACTTTGTGGAATTCCAGAAGTGGTCTACAAACGGGGAGACTGCTGTCTACCATAGGAATGTGTAATTTTCAGCACTGGTTCACAGCTAACGAAGGACACCTTTTTAATGCTTGGTAAGAGCAGTGAAACGGTTTATGGGTTTCTTTAAAATTGTTAAACCATGTAAATAAAGTGTGTGACTGAAAAGGGTTATTCAGTAACCTGAACGATATGTCTAAACACTGTTATAACCTGGGAAAGACTTAAGAGATTAATTGAAACTCATAAATTATATGCAAATATTATATAATCACAGCTCTAAACGCCCCCTCCCCTATGTGGGAACAGACGTTGCCACTTTGTTCAACACCGCACACCAATCCAGCTGTTCCATTGCAGATTCAAACCACTATACTCCTACTCACAGGGTATTTTTAGTCTCTTTGTGCCAAGAGATAACAACGTGTTCCTTCCAGACTGTACATGTGAATGTGCGAGTCTGCGTGCATAAGTGTGTGAGTGACTGTGTACATTTGAAAGCACAGGCTGTTTCTGTCCGCTCGTGCCAACACCACGAACACTGCAATAACTGAAATTGTACAAGTCTTCGTCTGTGTGCGTGTGTCTGTGTGAGGAAGTGGCGCTGTGGTTTTTCATATACTGTTCTACGATCAAGACGACCCGAGTAATATTCCTGGTCATGGTCATCAGTGACGTGCAATTGCCTAGCACGGTGTGCAAACACCAGCATAAGGTAGAAAAAAGGTGATAGGTAGTGGTACTGTCCACACCACCCCAGTGTGCAGTGTAAAAGGCAGAAGTGCAACACCGCACTTTCTTGCTCATGCCACTGTTGGCAAAAGGGCCTCCACGAGAGAGTCCTGGAGAACCCCGATAGAAGGTAATTGACCTACTCTTCCATACTGGCCAGCCATCTTGGAGATGGTTTTATCCACATTTTACTCCACAAGCGACGTGCCAATGGACTGTGGAGTACCCATTTATACAACTGCGTGGACAGAGTTGGGGGGATTTAATATATTTGCCCATTGTTTCAATTGCCACGCCGGGATATCAAACAAGCGACCTCTGGATTGCAAGTCCAGTTTGCTAACTACATCTTGGCAGCATCAGTGTTCTGGTATTGATTAAGTACTCGATAACAGCACTTGTCCCAACAATCTATTAAACTAAATATAAACTTACGAAGCCGTCCCTTTCCACATGGGTTCAAATCCTTGCCATGACCGAGGACTAAACCTAAAACCAGATAGTGGGACAATGTAGGAGCAAGCTTTGGAAGTCGGGCTTTGACAAGCATCTCCCTGTTCAAGCAGGAGGCAGCGCTCATCTACATTGGTGGCAGTGATCTTTAGCAACGCGATTAGCGTGGATCTTCTATCGCACAGTACGTCCTCGTGTCAACATTACAACAACACCCCAGCGCACCGGTAAAGGGTGTTGAAGGATTTCTCGCAGCCGCTGACGCCGCACTCGAAGGGCTTCTCGCGCGTGGTGCAACGCGCACATGGATCTTGCGGCTGTAGGAGGTGAGGAAGGCCTTGCCGCAGCCCGTCTGCTCGCACACAAACGTGTACTCGCCGCGGTGCGTCTTCTCGTGCGTCTTCAGGTTGCCCGCCGTGCTGTAGGTGCGCTCGCAGCCCTCGTAGGCGCACTGGTAGCGCTTCACCTGCATGAAGCAAGTGCACAAAAAGACATCTCAGCGGCTGTCTGGAAACAGGATGGTGATTATGCCAGGGTTCATGTATGGCTCGGAGTGCTGGGCATTCAAGAAATGGCCGACGTACTAGTTACGAGGCTGCCAGTGATGGGAATGCGGAGATGAATTTATGGAGTATAACAGATTATGTGAGCAATGATTAATTGAGATGATGGCTGAAGGTAGCGTCGAAAGAGGAAAAGTTGAGTGAGAATAGACTAAGATGGTTCGGATATGTGGCCAATTCGGTAGACTATGTTGAAATGAACGTTTAGACAAAGGTTGAGCAAAAGAGAAAGAGGGGAGGCAGACTTAAGAAGATAAAGCGAGAAGTTATCAATGAGAACATGCGAGCATGCAGCATTGCTGTGAAGATGGAAATGGGTCGGAGCCTGCAAAGAGAAGACTCTGAAAGCAGATCGCAACTTGAACAATGAGCTAGCACTACCAAGATGTTGGGTTTGGATCTGGGTTAGTCACCCGTGATTCAACGACGTTCTCATGTGTAGTGCGTTGATGGTCTCAGCCTGGACAACAATCACTATACGTAATAAACTTACGTTAATTCTAATTCTCAAATTAATTTCACAAAATTCCACCCGAGAGAATCAACATTACAAACATTCTCTCAGTGGCAAGATTGGGTGGGAAGTTCGTCCCCTTACTGAGTGGACCACAGGTCACTTGAAGGGCTATCACAGGTAGTCCTGTGATATGCACTTCCGTGGGCCATGCTTTAACACAAAGGAATAAAGGAATGCACCGCAAGAGATCCTAATGGAATATTTGTCTCATGACATGATATAAATGGCGAATGACAAAGGTCAATCCACTGCTGGATGAAGGCCTCCATAAGCCACCACCATCTATCCACCTAGCACTTGCACAAAAGCCACTATCATCGCTCCATCTCCTTGGTGGTCTCCCTCTTGGATATATACATTTCTTGGCACCCATTTCATCGTTATTCTTGACCATCGGCAACGTCCCTTCTAGCAATGTGTCTTGCCAAAGACCACTTTTCTAAAGTGTGAATGATGCCGTTCCAAATATTCAAGGGCCAGCCAAACTTAGAGATGAATGCTTGTTATCATATCTAAGAGACAGAAATATATCCGGCTTTTGCTACTTTTGTCCCAATAAACCTGAGTACATGGACTAAAGCAGCAACAATTTTAACTTAGCTCTATATAAACTACCCTGTCAACATCAAATGAATATGCCTTTACAAAACTGTCATAAACTAGCAGTGAACTGAAACTAAAATTTCTATCACGAGCTAACATTCTTGGCAGTGGTTCCACTTCAAAACGGCGGAGAAAAAGCAAAAAACTGTGAATTAATATTTCAGACATAATTGTGTAATCCCGCACCTCAATGAGTAACATTTGGAGTATCAGTTGTTGTACGAATAGCTCTGCATATAACCACACCACCAGCAATGCGCCTAATCTAGTCAGATTTTGGAGGCCAAGTTTGGATAGTGCTTGGATGAGTGACCACCACATACAGCTTGACATTGCTGTGGGGCTACATAGTAATCAGGAGGAGCTAGATAGTAATCAGCAGAGGGAAGTGCGCATGGAAATATGTTCAGGAGCTAAATGCCAACGTTGAGGTCTGCGAGTCACTATGGGGCTTCAGGAAGAGTCCTTGTCGTTTTGCTACTCCAAAGGAGCGCAGACCCCAGTGGCTGAGAGATGCAAGCCTTCTCGCAGCCCACCTGTTAGGTGTTTATGTTATTTTAAAACAACCATCTGCTAATTCGAATCCAGATATGATCAGTGGAGTTAAATGTCGAAAAATGTACATTTTACAGTGCCAAAAACTGATTGGACGAGGTCTTCAAGTGAACCAACAGTATTTCTTATATTTCCCACCTCCACGAACCCGCACTGACCAGCAAGGTGAGTATTCTCAAATACAGTATAACCTCAATGGCCACAACAATGTGGGGAGACCCTCATCCAGCAGTGAACTGGAAAAGGAGACTGTACATTTACTGGACATGAAATGTTTTGTCCGTCAGTATCCATGTATTGCTCTCTCATCATACACAACCAATGAAACCTTCAAAAGCACAAATAAATATAAAACACAGCTCTCCTTGCTCAAAAATGTTATGCGGCAAAAAATAAATAACAAACAGCCTAGCCACGTTACCACTAATTACATTTGATGAGCGTGGTACAGAAGAATGTTCAACAAATGACCCCTGGCTTGGTGCTAATGTTATTACAAGGAGGGTGTCACCTGTGTTGCTAAACGCTGCCATTAGTCACACAGCTGGGATCTCTACGTGCTTGGACGCTGAGCTGCATTACACGGGAAAAAGTCACAATGTTTAATATCCATTATAAATGTTTTCTTAAATAAACTACACCACGACGTAGGTTTTCAGTCATGCTGTACAGCTCTCTCTTGTGTGACTGCAGGCTGCACCACGTGTTCTTGGACGTAACATTCTGGAAGCTTCTGGAAGCTTCTTCATGAACTGAATTGGGAAGCTCAAATTCTTCCTTCATTATAAAAAGTTGCCACAAGCTGCTTCTGCTGCTGGCTGCTGGTGTTGTAATCACACCAACACCAGCAACTGGCAACTTGATAGAATTGAGAACGTGACCTACTCTACTTGGCTTCTGAAGAAGCTCCCAGCACATGAGCGAAACGTCAGACATCATGCACAACAGCACACGGTTACTTCAACCCAAAAACCCATGAGAGAACAGTTTACATAAAGGGCAAAGATTTTATTTATTTTTGTTTAGTTGTCTCTTTATCTTTCATCACCAAATGTATCCCAGTTGTGCTATCAACATAGCGTGAGGAAGCGGTGCGCAGGACTATGCTTAGTCAGTCACTTCACAACGCTTACAGGCTTTTACGTGTTACAATAAAAAGTGGTTAACCCTGCAGAAACCAACAGTAAGTGTTGTCAAAGTTGAATTTGGTGAAAATATAAAGTGCAGTAAATTTACGAACGGGTGGTTGCTTAGACTTGAGCCTAGAATCTCAGGAGTGCTGGCTCAGTGTTTTTTGACAGTGCTATGAGCCACCTGAGTTCAACCATTTACTTTCCGTTTATAACTGTATTTTAAATGCGTAACCATTCACATCCCTATTTTATTCACATTTCTCGGGTTAGACAACCATAAGTCCTTGACTAGGGTGATGTCAGACTATCTGACATCGCCTCAAATTTGGAAAACAGTTTAAGATGAGAATCTTATCTGAGCCATGGGGGGGGGGAGTCTATAACCACTTTGCTTATGAACGTTATATCAACAGCAATCTTTCCCGTATTGCCCATTTCTGGTGAACCGTCCAGTTGAAATATTGGCTATGTGGTGATTGCCCAGCACAAATTAAACATTTCCAACTGTGCTACAAAATTCACTGACAAAGCAAATGGAAAACCCCAGATGGCTAATCTGGGTTGCTATGGTTTGGAGGGTTTTTTTTTAACACTGTATTTGACAGCCAGCAGACTTTTATTTATGCATTTTCAAATGTCGCTATCATTAACCCATCGTTGCGATTTAGCGTCTGGTTTGCAGTGAAAGAGGAATCTGTTAAGTGAACTCAACGAGACACCGCCCATCAACCACCACACCCCGCTCGCTGGATCATGATACAACCGTGGACTTTTAAATTAACCCCTAGCCCACACTCCCAAGCTCTGCGAGTCTACAGTTTGAATTTCACGAACAAAAAAAGCAAGGCAATGTTTTTTTCTTTTAACCAATCTCAGGAAACTGACGAAATAGGAAACATTCTCTCTTGGCAGGGCAAAAACTTATAATGCTTCCACAGGTGACCACTCTGGACACAACTTCTATGCTCCTACGCATAGACAATCGCGAAGGATGTGTCAAATAACCTCGGCGGAGTGCGCAGATGCCGTCACATCCATAAGTGGAGTGTCTAGACCTGGACATTTACATGAACACCACATTCATTTGAATAACAAAAACACCGACGCAACCAAATGATTCCGGAATTGTACCCGAATGGTGCGAAATACGGAACGGCTGGTTGTGTTTACACAAAAACGGTGGCCGCTAAGCTCTATGCATGCCACAAACGCGTCCTCAGGAACCTCTTCACCGCAACAACCGGTGATGCTTTTACATTCTCTTATCCCGCACCTCGACCCCTACACAATGCCCTTCTCTGCCTTCTGCAGTGTCCCTCGTAAGTGTCCCAACCACTGCCTCTTTCATCTCCAATGCACGTCCCCCTCTCCTCCCATGTTCCTCTGCTCCAAAGCCATGCCCCTTTTCAACGTCCTCTCATATGCCATGCCCTTCTCTCGCCTCTATTCCTCATTACTTCCACCCATAAGGATGATTAAGCCATGCTTCTCTCCTCTCACCCATGCCCCCCCTTCTCTCTTCCCTGACATACCCAGACCCCGCTTTGAAGTAGCTAAACCACCAATGCCTCCTTAAATACCCCCCCCCCTATCACTTTACTCTCCCATTCCACACTCATCTCGCCGATGCCCCTAACACCCGTGCCCTTCTCTCCTCCCCACAAGCGGCTAACCCTTCGTTAATGCCCCCCCCCGCATATTGTATTAACGTGTACCCCCACTATGCCCCCTGTCACCGTAGCTCCGGGTAGCCCCCGTGCTCTGTACCCCCCACTCCATGCCTTCTGTACCCCCCACCCCATGCCTTCTGTACCCCCCACTCCATGCCTTCTGTACCCCCCACCCCATGCCTTCTGTACCCCCCACCCCATGCCTTCTGTACCCCCCATGTCCCTGTGCCTTCTGTACCCCCCACCCCGTGCCTTCTGTACCCCCCACCCCCATGCCTTCTGTACCCCCCACCCCATGCCTTCTGTACCCCCCATGTCCCTGTGCCTTCTGTACCCCCCACCCCATGTCTTCTGTACCCCCCACCCCATGCCTTCTGTACCCCCCACCCCATGCCTTCTGTACCCCCCACCCCATGCCTTCTGTACCCCCCATGTCCCTGTGCCTTCTGTACCCCCCACCCCATGCCTTCTGTACCCCCCACCCCATGCCTTCTGTACCCCCCATGTCCCTGTGCCTTCTGTACCCCCCACCCCATGCCTTCTGTACCCCCCACCCCATGCCTTCTGTACCCCCCATGTCCCTGTGCCTTCTGTACCCCCCACCCCATGTCTTCTGTACCCCCCACCCCATGCCTTCTGTACCCCCCATGTCCCTGTGCCTTCTGTACCCCCACCCCATGCCTTCTGTACCCCCCACCCCATGCCTTCTGTACCCCCCATGTCCCTGTGCCTTCTGTACCCCCCACCCCATGTCTTCTGTACCCCCCACCCCATGCCTTCTGTACCCCCCACCCCATGCCTTCTGTACCCCCCACCCCATGCCTTCTGTACCCCCCACCCCATGCCTTCTGTACCCCCCACCCCATGCCTTCTGTACCCCCACCCCATGCCTTCTGTACCCCCACCCCGTGCCTTCTGTACCCCCCATGTCCCTGTGCCCCCCACCCCCCCTGCACTCCGTCCTCACCTCCCTCCTCCGTGTCCGCGGGCACTGCGCGCTCAGCGTGAGCGTGGCTCCCTGGATGTCGGCGGGCATGGGCGTGTGGGCGCCGGGCTTGAGCGTCATGAGGATGCGGTCCTGCGAGATCGTGTGCTCGATGTAGCCACCGATCCCGTCGTCGTCGTCCTCCTCCTCCTCGTCGTCGTCTCCCCCCTCGTCGTCGTCCCTCCCCTCCTCTCCCCCGCGCCGACTCCCTGACGCGCGGGCCGAAGCCTCGGAATGGCCCAGCGGCCAGGCGCCGCCCTCGATGAGCACCGTGGTGCGGTCCCACACGGGCGACGCCGAGGCTCCGCGCGGCCCCGCTCGCCGCCGCGGGCCCGACTCGGCCACGCCCCCTGACCCTGGAGCCACGCCCACGAATCCCCGAAGGCCACGCCCCCCGAGGAGCGCGCGCCGCCACTGCCGCGGACGCCGCCGCCACTGCCACCGGCACGCGCGCGCATGACGTCGTCGTCGCGCATGCGCTCTCGGCGCGTCTCGTCGTCCTCGCGCTCGGTGGCGCGCGCCGCCAGGAAGCGCTCGAGCGCGAGGCCCGGCCCGCCATCTTGGTCCTCCTCGTCCTCCAGGTCGTCGTCGTCTTCGTAGTCGTCGTTCATTCCGTCCGTTCCGTCTCGGCGATCGCGCTCCTCCGCCTCGTCATCCTCCTCGTCGCCGTCGTCGTCGCGGCGCAACGCGTTGTCGCCCAGCGGCGGTGGCGGCGGTTCGGCCGCGTCGCTCTCGTCGCCGAGCGCAAGCGGCGGCCGCTCGATTCGGCCGCCCGCCATGTTTACAGAGGAGGCGCCTATGCGCATTGGCCCCGCCCCTCTATAGAGCCGTGCCCCGCCTTTTCCGCCACATGCCCCGCCTTTTCCGCTACATGCCCCCCCTTTCCCGCTCGATCAGAGAGGTCCCGCCCCTCTGCGCGCGTGGTCCCGCCCATTCATACCGCGCTCCTTAAAAATCAAATTGAGCGCTAAATCTTGACTTAAAGCTTTCGTGACTGCAGGAAATCATATTCTTGGGTCTGTCGGTAAAGTCACGTCTTTGAACCTATCTACGTGACTTTACCGAAAGACCCAAGAATATGATTTGAGTGCTGCACGAGCACAAACTAACAAAAATTCACACATTCCTCAAAAACATTGCCTTAAAAATAAAAATGTACTTTGTTTTTTTTTTCGGTAAAGTCACGTAGGTAAAATAAAATAAAACAACTAAATAAAATCACGACGTTTCGGAGGCAACACAAGCTTCCGTGACTTTACCGAAAAAAAACAAAGAGTATGAATCCTTGCAGTCACGAAAGCTTCAAATCTAGAATAAAAAAATGTATATAAGAGGCAACATTTTGGGCCAAAGACCCCTTTATAAATAACTGCCCCTTAATGAAGTAATTATCTTAAAACAACACGCCTAAATAATTTACACTTTACCGTCAATCACAAGGCCATATGGGAAGGAATCATTCGAGCAGCGTTGATTGAATACCTAACAAGCAAACCCTGGACCGATTTTAAAAGACTTAAGATGCCTCATTCAGAATGGCCAGACTTGCTTAAAGCAATGCGGGTGAACTGCCAAATTCTAGAGGCAAGGACAGCGAGGACAACACGAACAACTCGTTGCTCATAGCGTTGAACGGGGGCCCCCGTGGTTTATATTCGGTGTATATGATAATCCGACAACATTTGTTTGACAAGTCTTGACTGCTGGCGAGACCCAGAAGATTGAAAGCTGGAAGAGGTTTTGATTGCTTAAACGCGTGCTGTTGATTTTGTTGGTCGGGAGAGCCAATACAATAGTTGATGGACTGCAACATATTTGTATTCACACATGCAAACAAAACTGAGGTGTTGGTTATATTACCTTTGAAACAAAAATTCAAGTATATTCTCAGCTTGGTCACCAATTTCTGCACGCGCGATATAAACCCCGCACATTAAACGCGGTTGATCTTATACTAAATTTGGTGAATTCGAGGTTTTGACTCGCGTCGTGAATGTTACAGAGCACGTGGTAGACCTACGGAGTAAAATTTCTGAGAAACTGATCAAGTTGATATCGTCTGGTGTAAAATTATACCGTGGCAACCCGATACATTACAGTGTTGCAGACAGCTGCATGCGTTTCTATTATTTTGGCTGTGATGACAAACAGACGTCGGCGATTAGCTAAGACAGCTGTTTCGATCGCCTGTCTTGATTTGAATTAATATATATTCATACATTGTGGAAGTGAATTACGTCTTTGTTGAAACAAAAAATGGTCTAGCGGTATATTGGTTAAAAAGTGCGGGTTTTTCTTTTAATTATTAGAATAGATCTTGACTTAAAGCTTGCCTGACTGCAGGAATTCATATCCTTTGGGTCTTTCGGTAAAGTCACGGAGATAGGTTAAAAGAAAATAACTAAAAACTACGACCATTCGATCGCTTGTGTTGTGATCGAAACGTCGTTATTTTATTTGAACCTACCTACGTGACTTTACCGAAAGACCCAAAGAATATTATTAGAATAGCTTATAGATAGTTGTGCATAACCCTTTGTCGTGCCACTGCTCAATGAGGGTCTCATACTGTGCTGATCATAAGGGTTGTTTGACCATACTTCACCGTACTGGTTGATGCATGGTGGAGCCCAGGTCCAGTTCAGATATCACTTGCTACTTATGTTAGCTGTTAAGTGAATTGATTCACACGTCATAATTGATTAAAAAAGCAGTAATTAACACCATTGAACATAGACAATCTTGATGTTATTGGCCCATATTAAAATATACATTTACGTGAAAATATTTCCCCTTTAATGAACAATTATTTTGAATTCGCTAATAAGCTATGATATTTTAAAAAAATACGACTCGAAAGGAACATGGACAGCATATAAGATGTCCTTTTACCTTAGCAACAAAAGGCGATGCTGAGAATCGAATTCATGCCTTTATCTTTGCTAGAATTGACTTCTGCAAACCTGTGCCTTGCTGGAGTGCCCAATAAATGTATTTTTTTTTTATCTGCAGTATGTACGAAACTCAGACACCCGGGTTTTAACAAGATCCACGATTTTCGAGCACATTACTAATGTTTTATCATCCCTGCACTGACTCCCGGTGGAATTCAGAATAAAAATGTAATTGCTGCTCCTCACCTACAAGGTTCTAAATGGTCTTGCCTGCCTTTGTTTTTATGCACAAAGCTATTCCCATCCACATCAGGAAATCCGACTCTCATGGTTATTTTAATTCAGGCCTAAACACCTTTATTTTTATTCAATGGGTTTTCTTCCGGACTGATTTGATGGAGATCGTGACATTTGAACTAGTTTGTATTCTGCAGTAGCTTGCGTGGATTCCACCGATAGTTGCATATGTTTCTATTTTGTTTTTTATCTTTCGTTTGATTTGATTGTGATTGGGTTTTACTGGTGTGTCAGTGTTTTATTTTTATATAATATTCTTTTGACCTTTGATGTACAGCGCTTTGAGATTATAGTACCAATTTGAAAGGCTCTTTATAAAACTAAATTTCATGTTAGAAATTTATTTAACACGCCCCCTGCTGTTTATCGCATCCAGGTCATGCTAATCAAATGCTTATTCTATCTTCAAATTATATATTTATTCATGCCGAAAATAAGCACGTAGAAAAACACCTTCAAACAAATGACTGAAACCCACCACCTGCCATCTCCAGCTCTGGGTTCCATCCTACGTACAGATCCATGCCCCGCTTACAGATCACAATCAGAATCTTTATACTGGTAGGAATCTGATGGGCTATAAAGCTATTTTTTTCACAGTAGGTCCAGTAGGGGCAGGTCAGTAAGTTTCAATACCCTTCTGTAAGACTGGAGACCTCACACTCACAGTGACATTGACACGCACCCAAACACTGACAGCACACCAGTCACCGAAGCTTAGGAGGAGATAGTGACACTCACAAATAAACGTCTGAGCAGAGGGAAATCCACTTTATTTGTTTCCATATCTGTCACTACTTGCGTCTCATACGCTCTGTATCACGTTGTATCTTTGTGCCTCTGTATACTGTTTTGTAGGGAGGTCTTGTTAATTAATCTATTATTCGTTTTTTAGGGATTTTATTGAGTTACATTATACATGGGCACCAAAACCATACTCGAGAGTATGTCTTTCAACTATTTATTCTATGAAGGAAATCACGATAACACTTTTCTTACAATGCAAGCATTTAAAAAATCTGACCGAACAATGCAAAGAATGCAACGTCCACATGTAGGAGGCAAAGGTTAAGCGTTCACTTGAAGTGGCTCTGTTTAGCTTCATAGCAAGTATCTTTCAGTAAGGTGACTTATTTAACTTTTGATAGCTTCAGTTTCGAGCTTATCACGTTTTGTGAGATATTGAGATGATATTTTCAGTGCAAACAGTTTGCTCAGGTTCCTTGTTGTTGATGTTGACGATGCACGATGCTCAACCGGACTGCACAAATATCTCTTGCCAAAGCTAAAAAGGCAATATTCATCTTTCGCGTGCTTGGTTTACCAGGGTGCAACCCGAAGACGTCGACACGCGGTCGAACGGACGATGACGGACAGTGTTGTTGGGCGTCTGTCGAGCCTCATGCTTCTCGTTGTAATTCTCGGTGTCACGCACAAAGATCTCTCTGTTGCACTCGAAACATTTCTAGAATCGCAGCTGTGTCGTGCGCTTTCGAGGGGTATCAATTGAGACTAGGCTCTAAAGAGACTAGGCTCTAAAGAAAGTTGTCTCTGGTGTGGACCAATCAATTTCAAGGACAATGCATATATTGTCAGTGTGTTTTTTGTTTGCATTTTGACTGCAAGTATTGTGGGTAATGCAGACATGAATCCATGTAAAAAAAGGTTTCAGTTTTGTTGCCAGAAAAAAAGGGGGAAAACCCCTATTATTATTATATTTTGGTACTGGCAAAGGAGGTCCAATGATGTACATTGGAACAAGTTTGTTCGCATTCCCTCCTCTGTCCACCAAGCAGTATAATGGTTTTCTGCACTTCGTCGATTGGCAGGTTTCATGCGGTGGGTTAAAAGTGTGGATACACCGACCTCTGCCAACATGTCGGGTCAGCGTGGAAGAGTAGAACAGATCCCCTTTAGAGGGCCCTCTATTGGAGGCCGTTCTGACAGCAAGCAATTGCAGGGTTGCACCTTTAGCCTTTTACCTTAACTGAGAAACGAACTCTACAGTGTGTGGATTTAATTAGGCTGCCGTAGGTGCTACTAAAGGTTGGTGATGGAGGAGCCGAGGTTTTAAGGGTGCGATTGACAGCTATTTGAATGGATTGAATGGAATGAAATGTCTTTTTAAAAAAAAAAAACTCTCCAACGTCAGTGGAAAGCTTTAATACATTAGTTATGACCATGTGTCCGTAACATTAACAGTGAGATGTGGAGAGGGGTCACGAAAACTCTCAAAATGAATACCGGGGAGAGGAGGGCCGTATCTGAACGTGGCTCTTTCACTCCAGTGCTGTCCTACCAGACAGTCTCGCCCCCTTCACCTGATGAAGGCCGCTTGTGTTGTGGCCGAAACGTCGTGAGAATATTATTGTGTTATTTTATTTTATCAATTTATTATTTTATTATCATTCTACGTGACTTTACCGAAAGAACCAAGAAGATTAATCATTGCAGTCACGA